GAGAAGCATGTAAACAATCAAGATGAGTATGAAATAATGAAGTTACACAAAGAATGCATGAACATGTAGTAGAAAACATACCTGACAAGTGCTGTTGGAGAGCTTGGAGCTGGTGCAGAGCTTGGAGCAGTTGGTGGAGAGCTTGGAGCTGGTGGAGAGCTTGGAGTAGTTGGTAGAGAGCTTGTAGCAGATGGTGGAGAGCTTGGAGCAGTTGTAAGAGCATTTTCTGGAGCATTTTCTGCACCCCAATGCTCATCTTCTCCAAATGCAGGATCAATTGTAAGAGCATTTTCTGGAGCATTTTCTGGAGCAGTTGTAAGAGCATTTTCTGGAGCATTTTCTGCACCCAATGCTCATCTTCTCCAAATGCAGGATCAATTGACTCTTTGCAATGGGTGCCTCTGTGACCAAGTCTGCCACATCTACTGCATTTCTTTTGCCTTCCTCCAAGACCTTTTCCTTCTGCCTGTGCCCTTATCCTAGTTTTCTTTGGTCTTCCAGGTGGTCTATTTTGCACTGGTGCACACAGTTTAAACCCAGTATCAACAATGTCCCACTGCTGCTTCCCCTCCATTGCAGGCAAATTCTCTGCATAAGTAAGATTGAATCTATGCACAGAGTAAAATTCATGAATGCAAGGTTGTCCACTGATTTGCCATTTTCTGCAGCTACAAGTTTGTGCTTGCAGATCAACAGGATACCTCCACTCCCTCTTCTCTTTATCAATTGCAGTCACCTCTACCTCATGAGTACTTCTCTTAACAATGCTCATATCTAAGGTCTTTGATTTTGCCATTAACTGTTTCATCACTTTGGGGACTATGATATGCCCTCCATAAGTGCCAGCAGAAATGCTTTGCCTTAGATCAAATTTCTCCATTAAGACTTGCCTAATTTTGTCTAGCAGGTCTACAATGTGTAGTCCTTTCCATTTTCTGATTTTGGAATTGAAAGACTCTGCAAGGTTATTGTTCACATAATCTAACTTGCACTTCTCATTGAACAGTGCCCTGGCCCATATCTTGCTGTGATGTTCATCCAGATAATCTTTTACATCTGGCTTGCTATACAACTGCCTGAGATGGTAATTGTGTTTCTTTAAGCTAAATGTTAGGGAACAGGGCCACAAGTTCTCATCAAAAAATTTCCCTTTAAACTTCTTGGTGAAGTTTGCAGCTAAGTGCCTCATGCATTCTCTGTGCTCTACTCTAGGGAAAACGTCATCTACAGCTGCCTCTAATCCTTTACAGGCATCAGTGTGTATGACTAGACCATTTGGGTGGCCTATCAGGTTTTTCAAGTGCTCAAAGAACCATGTCCAACTCTCCAGGTTTTCTACCTCTAGCACACCATATGCAACTAGAAATATCCAGTTGTTTGCATCTACAGCACAAGCACTGACTAGTTGTCCTTTGAACCTACCATCGAGTGCAGTGGCATCTACTGCCAGATATGGCCTACAACCTTCTAAAAACCCTTCTAGCATGCCTTAAATGACACAAACACTCTCCTAAAGCACTCTTTAAACCTGCTCTGACCATTCTTTTCAAACTGAACAGTGTGCCTATCAATGTGAACTACACTACCAGGTGATGCTTTCTCTACCTCAGCCATGAATGTGTACAATAATTGAAAACTGTCAGTCCACTTACCATAGATGTTGTCAATGGCCATCTGCTTACCATAAAATACTCTCATGTATGGCAGCTGCAATCCATACTTCTTCTTCAAGTCAATTTGAAGTTGTGTGACCCTTATATTGGAGTTTTCTCTCATCCAGTTCTTAACTGCATCTGCAATCCATCTGCACTTTGCTGATCTCAACCTTTGTCTTCTTGTCACACGTGGGCATGTGTGAGGATTTCTGTTTACTTTGACCTGCAGTTAAACATTGTAACAAGGATTAGAATCATAAACAACATAACAATCATAAAGAACATGCACAGTTAAATGTTAGTGTACCTGAAATAGTTTGGTATTTTTCAGAAAGGATGCATGCATCCTCCACTTACACCTTCTATATGCACAATGTACTGTTAGCCTACCCGGCTCACTCTTGTAAATTTTGAATTCACTCTGAGTCTTGATTGCATAAGTGGCTAACGCATTTCTGCACTCTACAACACCAGAGAATATAGTTCCTTCTGCAAGAGAAGGATCATCTCTGTTAAAATGAACATCTGGCCTGGCCTCATCAGAACTCTCAGAATAACCCATGTCATTGTCCTCCTCTCTCTCATCTGAATCTGTCTCAGCAAACTCTGGAGGGGAAATGTAATCATCTTGTTGAGCTGCTTCCTTCCCCTTTGGCTTCTTCCCCATTACAAATTCAGGATGCATTAATTCATCCTCATCATCTGTTGGTACATCATCAGGTTGTTCCTCTTCTATGATTGGATCAGCATCTGGATGCTTGCTACTGCTAGGACCTGGTTCATGCACAACACTAGTTTTTGAATTTCTTCTTCCACCTGAACTACCTCTGCCACCTGAATTCCTTCTTGCACCTGAACTACCTCTGCCACCTGAATTCTCTCTTGCACCTGAACTACCTCTGCCACCTGAACTCCCTCTTCCTCTTGTTTGACTGCACCTAGCTTGAGAACTGTGAGCTTGAGATCTAGTTCCTCTCCTCTCAGTCTCTCCTCTAAGCCTTTATATCACATTAATTTCTAAATCTATTGTCTTAGTTTCAGCATTGGTTGCAAACATAATTCCCAATTCATCATCAGACTGCACTGGCACCCAATTAGTATTTCCCATGTCCCAATACCTAAATTCTACAGCATCATAGAGGCCCCATGGATATTTATCTGAGATTGCAGATCTAAACTTCACAAATGTTGATGTGCAATCAAGTACAAGACGAAAATTAAACCCTGTGCCAGATCCTTTTGTACCAGAAGTGCCTAACACGGCGGTTTCCATCCTATAGTTGAGATAGAAAGATCTAGCTGGATCCATCCTACGGTAAATGTTGAGAAAAATTAGAGGAAGGCAAAGACAGTGAGCATAGCAATCGTGCGAGTAACCTAATGGAGACACTTACCCCGTTGGAATAGTCGGTGTGGTCGCCGCTGTGGTCTGAGAGCTCTCAGCTCTGCCGTTGCCGGCGCCGCTTCCACGAACGGCAACCATCCGCGAAATCCCTCGGTGAAGAGGGGCGGTGGGTCAGATCCAGCCGCCGCACATCTCAATCCCCCATGCTATCCCTCCACGGCGACCGACGGCGAACCAAATCGTGGGCGGGCTAGGGTTAGGGTTCAAGTCACCAGAGAGAAGAGAAGAGATGAGAGGAGAGTATATCTGTGAGTGAGTGACTCTGTCCGAAGGGCCCCACATGTAAGTACCAGGGGTAAATTGTCCGAAATGTGTCTCCTACACGGTCAAACCACGTTGACTGGACGGTAAGGGTACGGAGGGGTATTTCTGAAACGGCACCAGACGGAAGAGGGGAAAAGTTGAGCACTTGTTTCTTTTAGGGGTAAAGATGAGGGTGGGGCAAGATTAGGGGGAAAATGTAAATGTCCCATCATCAAAAGCCAAAAGCCCCAGCCGAGCCACATACCGGGTCTGAGGCATAAACTGGTCTGACGCACTCACATGTGTCGTCGCCGCCATCTTCCACTGGTCCGTTTTCAGAGCAGATATTGAGGCTTCTACCTTGTCAGGCCACTCTGCTATCGACTCCACCATGACGCCAGATAGCAACCTCCTCCTGTGCAAGTCCAGCACCGCGCATCGGGCGCCGAGTCTCCACTGCACCACGCTGCCGAGAACCGACGTCATCAATGTGTAGGATGAAGCACCGCTCCACCAAAAAAGCCATCCACTGGTCCCTCGAACCCATGTACACCTCTAAGAAAAACGCCCCCAAGGAGGAAACGACACCAATGCGCCGCCGTCATCTGATCTACTGATTTAGGGTTTCCCCCGGAGGTAGCGGATAGAGGTCTGGAGCTTCTCCACGGCGATGCCTTCAAGAAGGTAATGACACAAAAGAGTGCCGCCAACGCCGGTCTTGGCATCAAGCCGAGAACTAGGTTTCACCCGAATCCGCTCGAGGAACCTCCATCAAGCATCGTGTGCACGGGACGCCGCCGATCTGAGCCGCTGCACATTGAGCAGGTCGCACCGGCCGGATCAAATCTGTCCGAAGGGCAAACCACACATGGCGCCGACCCAACCACCAGGCCCTCCATGCCGCCACCACCGAACCGAGGTCAGATGGTCCATCGCCACCGAACGCAGCCAAGGCCGTTGCCCGAAGCAGGGCCAGCCGCCGCACCCGCCACCATCCGCCCTAGGCCGAGGCGGCCGCCGCGCCGCTGCCGGAAGGCAGGCCCGCCACGCCACCAAGGCCAGATCGGCCGTGCCTCCACACACCACGGGGCTCCGCACCGCCCCCATGGCGCAGGAGAGAGGGAAGGCCCCCGCCACCGCCGTCAGCCCCTGGGCTATAGGCCGGCGGCGTCCTTCGGTGGCGGTGGAGGGAGGGGTAGAAGGACGGGGAGCCCCGGCGGCTAGGGTTGCGTCCCGCCTGAGTCGCCCGAGCGGGGGCGACGCGGGGGGTGCGGGTGTTTCGCCCGAGTCCTAATTTCATTTTGCCTTTTCGATTTTAATCTCCCTAACACGCTCATCAGTTATGTCCCCTTCGCCGCCGGCCATAACATGCTCGGCGGTGATGCTGCCCCGTGCCCGAGCATCAACTGAACGGACGAGACTTGGCTGCTCCACACGCGTGTGCCCATCCGTGCTCCTGCGTACGTGGCTTGATTTGATTGGAACAAAATAAGGCCTGGCACCACCCCCTTAAAATCAGAGGGGAGATGATTAGATTAGAAAGGGAAAAGGAAAAAAGACAGACGTAGGATGAAGTGGGAGCACGGATGGGAGCATGGGGAGGGAGCAGGAAACCCGGATCCCAACTGAACGCACCAACGGAACTAAATCTGGACGCGTCGTTCCTTTATTGGTTTGCAGGGCTTCAGCCATTGCTCATGGAGTCCTCCGCCATCAACGGGGCCCTATGGGTGCTGGGCAAGGCGCTGAGCCCGCTGTCCGGCGGCCTAGTCGAGGCGTGGGCAGCCAGCTTCGGGCTTGGCCTCAACATCGAGGCACTCAAGACGGAGCTCCTCTACGCGCAGGCCATGCTCGACAACGCCCGCGGCCGGGAGATCCACAGCCACGCGTTGTCTGAGCTGCTGCAGAGACTGCGCGCCCTGGCGTACGGTGCAGACGACGTGCTTGACGAGCTCGACTACTTCCACATTCAGGACAAGCTTCACGACACCTTCGAGACCGTCCATGAAGACGACCGCGGGTGCGTCCATAACCTTCTCCGCGATACACGATACACAACCAAAGATGGAACCAAGCTGCTTGGGTGTGCATCGTGCTGCTCTGCTGCAAGCGGCACTTACAAAGCAGATGAGTCATGCAACTGCGTCAGCCGGCTCGCCTCCCGTACTCGCTCTACCATCCATGCATTCGGTAAACGACTTCTATGCTCTTTTCCTCTATCTGTTCATAAAGAAGATGATAGTGATACTTCTTTTGATGATGATGATGACGATGATAGTAAGCATACCCCTAAAGTACCAATGTTGAAATTTGATAGGGTGGATGTCTCTACAAGAATGAAATGTATCACATATGAATTAAAGCCCCTCTGTGCTAAGGTCTCCACCATTCTTTGCCTATCAGGCTCTGTCGTTGCCGAGATACCACTACTAGGGAAAAGCCTAGCAGCAACGCGAGTTTTAGGCCTATAAGTAGCGCGGGGCGATGCGCTACTAATAAGGCGCTACAGCTAACGTATAGCAGTAGCATGCATCCGCCCACGCTACTGCTAAATCGACTTAGTAGCAGCGACTTCCCGGAGGAGCGCTACTGGTAATTAGTAGTAGCACGTCTCCCAGCCCGCGCTGCTACTATTATTTCATATTTTATTTCTTTTTTATTTCATGTTGTATTCGTACACCTTTACACAAGTTTTCATACAACAGGAATTTAGAAATTGTTTTTACATCATAATGAGTTATTACATCATGGGATGAAAGAACCGTGGACTAGTTTCAAGTGGATGGACATCCACTTGAACCATCCACTTGAAACTAATCCGCGGTTCTTTCACCCAATGATATAATAAATATCATCATCATCATATCATTAACAACTTATCATCATAATACATCATTGTCATATAACACCTCCTCAAGATCATCATTTTCATCAATGAGACATCACATAGCAAATTGGTCACTAGTCGTAATCACAAGTACTCCTCATTATCAACTCTAACACATTGTATCACATAATAAACATATTGTACCTCATAGGACCTACTACATTCTCTTAGGACCTACTATATTCTCTAAGGTAAAATAGCAAAAAACAAGATAGCCCCTGACTCTCCATTATGGAGAATGGAGATGATCCTGTCTCCAATTCTTGCCTTTCGCTTAATGTTACTTCCAAGAACCTCCTTGCGAATGTCCAAACATTTTTTCCATTCTTTGATTAGCATGTGTTCACCGGTTTTAGAAATCTGATATGCATAGGTGAGCTCCTTAGATTCACATGGCTGTATGTTCATAACTGCAAGGCGACCATTCTGATACATCAGATGAGGCACACAATCCATCGGGATTTCCTGTTGAAAAATATAGTAATAACTTCGTAGTTAGCAATGATGTACTAGTTTTAGAAGTATGCAAAAGATGCACGGATGTCGTAATAGTAAAAAATCTTACCAGGGTATCTCCATAGACGTTACCGTGGTTCAACACATGCACTAGTGGCACATATTCACCATAATTTGGAGGAGTTCGATAATAGGTATTGTAATTCTCAAGAAAAGTACAATAAGCAATCAGATGACTTTTCTCCTTATAAGTTAATTCGGAGCCATCAGTGTAGTGGGTTTTGTCTACCATCTTCTGCACGTTCTTTGAAGATTCAAAATAAGCTGTCAATGGAAATAAGCTGTCAACTATTTTGAAATAAACAATATAAATTAGTTAATAAGTATGTTTGAGAAACTCACATTGCGGTAAAATCAGAAGCGTATCAACAAGGACCCAAATGTCCATATTGTCTTGCTCGATGTCAGGATTACCAAGATGCATGGTGACAATCATACCCTCATAAAAACCATACATTTTGCAAAGTGCTTCCCAATTTTGGCAACCAAAATGGGTTACGCTCTGAGAATTGTATAGATTTACTTCAAAATCGATATCATGATGGGTCCTTAGGTGTATTTTCTTTGTTTCAAAATTTTCATGGTCTTCAAAACCCATCCTCTCCAAGACATAGCGTCTTGCATGGCATGGGATAAGCTAGTCGAATTGTAAAAGATGAAAATTAGACATTGAAATAGTTGAAGTCATGCTTAATTACGAAAAAAACACTTGTCGTTGTTGCGTACCGTTTCAACATCGAATGTCTCCTCGAGCTTAATGCTGAAGCGCCGATCTTCATCCAGCTCAACGAACCTGTCGCACATACCTCGATCATCGTGGCACCAGCTGCACTCCCCCGGGAGACTGTCGTCGTCCGAGTACGACATTTCCTACGTTCATAATTCAAAGATTAAACTTGTACATATTCTAGCACAAGTCATGCCAGAATTCACGAAAAAATCCGGCATGACATTTGCTAAAAAAGGACACATCGAGCGCCTGAAATTTGCCGAAACGAAAATTAATCAACACTCCGGCAAAACATAGGTCACTCGGAGGTGTAACCAAAACATGAAATAATTGCTTAAACTAAAAAATAACAACAAATATGACATGTTCAACTAGTTCTATTAATTCAACTAGTTCTTACTAAATATAAGCTTACTATAAAAATAAAAAAACTAGTTCTTTCTAAAAATAAAGTAGTTCAACTAGTTATTAATTTAGTTACTAAACTAGTTCAACTAAAACTAAACTAGTTCAACTAAAACTAAACTAGTTCTATTAATTCAACTTGTTCTTACTAAATATAATCTTACTATAAATAGAAAGAAACTAGTACATCTACTACTACTAATTAACATCTAACTACTACATCTACTACTAATTAACATTTACTACTTCTAATTATACAACTAGTTTACCATCACTACTACTAATTAATATCCACTACTACTAAAAATCATTATCTATGAACCCTAAATTAACATCTACTACTACTAAAATCATCTACTAACTAAGCAAAGAGAGAGGGGGTGGGGGGCTTACAGAGGGAGAGACGGTGGCGGGGAGGTGTGGTCGAGAGCGGCGGCGGGCGGCGGCGGTGAGGTTGAGGGCGGGCTCGGGCGGCGGCGGTGAGGGCCGGCACGCTCGGGCTCGGGCGGCGGCGATAGGATCAGTAGGGGAACAGGCCACAGGGGGTGGGGGTGGGGTGGGGAGGAGGACTTAGCGAAATTTTAAGGCGGCGGGGGGGGGTGGTTAACTCGAACTAGTAGTAGCGCTCATAAGGAAAACGCGCTATAGCTAACTTATCTATAGCGCGTTCTAGAGATAACGCTATTGCTAATGGAAGCAGTATTTCTTTTGTTTATCCCAATATCAGTAATGCTTTGTCCTGAAAAAATGCTATAAGTCTAAGAAATGTAAAAACATCAAAAATATACATTGGTCATCATTGATCTTTTTGTGTAGAATCTAAATAGTCAACATGAATCCTCACTGTACCTGTATAGGTACATGCGAGGATTCATATTGCAACCACAAATCATACACATATAGTTCAATGAAGACCAAGTGCTCGAGATAGGTTGAGAAGTAACATATTTAAGATGGTAAACACCTTGTTCGCTTAGCAGTATGGGACTAAACTTAATTAGTTGTGGTGATACTTATCAGTAGCGAGTTTTGAGGAAAACCGTTGCTACTAAGTTCTTTAGCAGTAGCGCGTTCCTGGGAAGGGCGCTACTACTATATCTAGCCTGGAGGCAACACCGTGGCAATTATAGTAGTAGCGCTCATTTCACCTAGAGCGTTACTGCTACTTAGTAATTAGTAGCGCTCTTTTCTGAAGCTCGCTACTGCTAATTAGCAGTAGCGTCTATTTTTAAACCACGCTGCTGCTAAGATTCTGTGTATAAGGTTTTCCCTAGTAGTGTACGGGTACTAGGTTCTAGCCGTGGCATTAGTAATGTTGCCTCTACAAGTAGATGCATAACCACCTCACAAGCTTTAGAGCCTAGATTGTATGGGAGGGAACCTCAGAAGAACGCCATTGTCGAGCACATTACAAAGCGTGAATGAAAGTGCGTTATATCGACTAGAGGGGGGGGGGTGAATAGGCGATTTTTATGGAAGTCTTCAAAACGTGGAAGTTATGAAGACAAACGATAGAAATAAACCTATTACCCTGCAGCAGAAGGTAGACTACACTAGGCAAGCCATAGTCAAGTATTCAATAGAGTGAAAGCACAATGACTAATAGCAGCAATGTAGTAAGGATCAGGTAGGAAGATATTATGAAGCCTAATAGAACACGCAGTCACTCAGTGAAGATAAAAGATAGTGCAATCATACAATGACTTCACAAGGAGTAACAGTACGTAAAGAGAAGGGAAGGATGAAAATAGTGACTCGTTGAAGACAATGATGTGTTGGACCAGTTCCAGTTGCTGTGACAACTGTACGTCTGGTTAGGGCGGCTAGGTATTTAAACCTGAGGACACACAGTCCCGGACACCCAGTCCTGAACACGCAGCTCAGGACACCCAGTCCTCACCGTATTCCCCTTGAGCTAAGGTCACACAGACCTCGCCCAATCACTCTGGTAAGTCTTCAAGGTAGACTCCCAAACCTTCACAGACTTCGTTCACCGGCAATCCACAATGTCTCTTGGATGCTCAGAACGCGACGCCTAACCGGCTGGAGGATTCACAGTCCTCAAGTGTAATAAGTCTTCAGATCACACAGACAAGAAGACTTAAGTGATGCCTAATTCTCTTTGGCTCTGGGTGGTTAGGGCTTTATCCTCGCAAGGAATTCTCTCTCAAAAGCTTCGAGGTGGGTTGCTCTCAAACGACAAAAGCCGTATACTAACTCTGAGCAGCCAACCATTTTTGGTTGTAGGGGGTGGGCTATTTATAGCCACTAGGCAACCTGACCTGATTTGTCCGAAATGACCCTGGGTCACTAAGGAACTGACACTTGTTCGAATGGTCAGATTTCAAACTCACACGGCAACTTTACTTGGGCTACAAGCAAAGCTGACTTGTCCGACTCTAGACAAGATTCGCTCTCATAGTCTTCACTCGAAGACATAGGTTTTGGTTAAGCATCACTTCAGTCATTCTGAATGGTTCTCTTGTACCCCACTTAACAGTACGGTGGTTCCTATGACTCAACAAAGAAGAAGAAAAAGAACTATGAAAGATCTAAATCTTCGAGCTCCATAGGCTTCATGCGATGTCTTCTCTTGTCATAGTCTTCAATGTGAATATCTTCATATACCACCTTTGACATCAATGTCTTCATACATTTTTAGGGGTCATCTCTGGTAGGTAAACCGAATCAATGAGGGACTTCTACCTGTGTTATCCTGCAATTCTCACAAACACATTAGTCCCTCAACTAGGTTTGTCGTCAATACTCCAAAACCAACTAGGGTGACACTAGATGCACTTACAATCTCCCCCTTTTTGGTGATTGATGACAAACTAGTTGAAGTTTTCAACGGAGAATATAATATGTGAAATTGTAAAGGATAAGGAATTGTCTTCATAAGTTGCAAGGGCTCCCCCTGAAGATGTGCATATAAGTAGTTTACTTTTGGAATGCAAATGCACATGGCAGGTTGTGCTTGTGGAGAACCTCTTCAACTTATGATGACAATCCACTATGCATGTGAAGGTATGTGAAGATAATGACATGCATAATGGAAATTGGACGTCTGCAAAATGATCTAAGTGCGGAATTTATCATCGCACATGCGGAATTTATCATCGCATCACAAGGTGGCAAATAAGTAGCAGACGACCATCGAGTTTAAGTGTTACAACTCAAAGAACCAAATGTATCAAAACGAGAGTTGTAAACACGAAGCAAAATATGAAGCACCCGCCCATATGGACCCGCTTGAAGACTATTAAACTCATATGCTTCTCCCCCTTTTGTCAGTAAGGACCAAAAAGGTTTGAAGACATAGAGCCTCTACTCGTTCCCATGAAGAGTAGGTGAAGCAGCAGGGTCGTTGGTGGTGTTCGGCGGTGCAGAAGAGCTTGGAGCGTGTCGAAGCGTGCTGAAGGAGGCAGCGGAAAGTAGCATCGTCGTCATCCTCGATCACTCTGGCATTTACAGTGGCAGCAGAGGAAGAGAACTCAGAGTCTTCAAGAGATGGAGTTCGTCGCAGCACTGCCCTTCGAGGAGGTGTGGAGTCAAACTTGAAGCACTCAGAGAAGCCATCCTCTTAAAGATCATCTTCAGTACACATCAGCGTCAGCCCTTTCCATGTGCGTCGAGAGGTTTCATGAGCAACAAAGGCATTCTTGGTGCAAGATTGCGAATGCGGTTAACATCCACCAAGAGGCTTTGCATTTGACGCTTCAACCAGTCATGATGCCTATCCTGTTTCTGATGAAGAGCCCCAAGAAGCTCTCGGTCATTGAGAACACGAGTGCACTTCTTGGGTCGTGGGGTAGTTGTACTATTAGTGGCTTCAGTGAGAGCAGGATGTGGTGCACGTGTAGTGCCAGCCAAAGGATACACACGAGTGACTGCTTCAACTCCTTCAATGTTTTGAGAAAAACTTTGATGCTCTGCATTCTGAAGACTTAGAGGTTCCTTGGCAGGCTCAGGATAGATGGCTTCAATAGACATATCCACATCAGGCAGAAAAATCCGATGATTGCGAGCAGATGGCTGATATGAGATAGCGGAGTGAAGTTTGATCAGCCGCATTACCCATGGGGCGTAGAACTTCAAGCCAAACAGATCAGAGCCTGATGCAGCAAGTTGGCGAATGAAGAAGTCCTGTGCATTGAAGCATTTTCCATGAACAATATAGAAGACCAAATTCTTCATTGCACCTTCCAGCTTGGCATGTGGAGAGTGCCCTTTGATGGGCCAGAGAGTTCTCCTTATGATGTGATAAATAGTCCTTGGCAGATACTCTAGGTCTTCAATAAAGAACTCTTTGGGATATGCAGCATCTTGGGGTAATGGCTTCATCATACTGAGCATCTGACTCATGTTAGGTTTAGGCTTCTGAAAGATGCTCTCCACAGCTTCACTGTGAAGTTGACAGCCAGATTCGTAGAGATCGCCGGGAGTGGGTAGACCAGTGAGCTCAATGATGTCAAAGGCTTTGGCTTCGTGATGAACGTTTCCTGTCATCCACTCCAGGACCCAAGTCTTCGAATCTCTGTTATACCCGCGGATGTGAAGTGTGGCATAGAATTGGAGCAGCAACTCTTCATTCCAATGCTCTTGGTCAGTGACGAACGGCAGCAATCCAACCTCTTTGAAGCAATCCAGAGCTTCTTCCAGACAGGGCAGACCAGCTATTGTTTCAATGTCAAGACGCTTGTGTGGGAAGATGCGACCTTGATTGTATAGAATGCAGGAGTAATAGCTTCGCTGCGGATAGCTCCAGAACCGATTAGATGATATTCTTTCCCTTGAGTAGGGGTTCCTGGAGCTATTGAAGAATGTGTTGTCTGCTCTGAAGCCATTGATATTGAAGGATCCAGGTGCTGATGCAGGACCTGGGAACCTGGGCAATCTTGGGATTGGCTTCTGTACCTGAGGCCTGTGCTCAACATGATAGTAGAACCAAGGACCGGCAACAGGCGCAGGAACAGAAGCAGTGGGATGAGTGGCTTCGCTGACATCTGGTGCTTTTGTTGGTGAGGGCTCCACATTAGTGAAAGTGCGTTATATCGACTAGAGGGGGGGTGAATAGGCGATTTTTATGAAAGTCTTCAAAACGTGGAAGGTATGAAGACAAACAGTAGAAATAAACCTATTACCCTGTAGCGGAAGGTAGACTACACTAGGCAAGCCATAGTCAAGTATTCAATAGAGTGAAATCACAATGACAAATAGCTGCAATCTACTCCATCCGTAAACTAATATAAGAGCATTTAGAATACTATTTTAGCATTCTAAATGCTCTTATATTAGTTTACGGAGGGAGTAGTAAGGATCAGGTAAGAAGATATTATGAAGCCAAACAGAACAAGCAGTCACTCAGTGAAGATAAAAGATAGTGCAATCATACAATGACTTCACAAGGAGTAACAGTACGTAAAGAGAAGGGAATGATGAAACCAGTGACTCGTTGAAGACAATGATGTGTTGGACCAGTTCCAGTTGCTGTGACAACTGTACGTCTGGTTAGGGCGGCTAGGTATTTAAACCTGAGGACACACAGTCCCGGATACCCAGTCCTGAACACGCAGCTCAGGACACCCAGTCCTCACCGTATTCCCCTTGAGCTAAGGTCACACAGACCTCGCCCAATCACTCTGGTAAGTCTTCAAGGTAGACTTCCAAACCTTCACAGACTTTGTTCACCGGTAATCCACAATGTCTCTTGGATGCTCAGAACGCGACGCCTAACCGGCTGGAGGATTCACAGTCCTCAAGTGTAATAAGTCTTCAGATCACACAGACAAGAAGACTTAAGTGATGCCTAATTCTCTTTGGCTCTGGGTGGTTAGGGCTTTATCCTCGTAAGGAATTCTCTCTCAAAAGCTTCGAGGTGGGTTGCTCTCAAACGACAAAAGCCGTATACTAACTCTGAGAAGCCAACCATTTTTGGTTGTAGGGGGTGGGCTATTTATAGCCACTAGGCAACCCGACCTGATTTGTCCGAAATGACCCTGGGTCACTAAGGAACTGACACGTGTTCCAATGGTCAGATTTCAAACTCACACGGCAACTTTACTTGGGCTACAAGCAAAGCTGACTTGTCCGACTCTGGACAAGATTCACTCTCATAGTCTTCACTCGAAGACATAGGTTTTGGTTAAGCATCACTTCAGTCATTCTGAATGGTTCTCTTGGACCCCACTTAACAGTACGGTGGTTCCTATGACTCAACAAAGAAGAATAAAAAGAACTACAAAAGATCTAAGTGTTCGAGATCCATAGGCTTCATGCGATGTCTTCTCT